CAAGAACAGTATCTGTGATGTCACCCCTGCCCAACTCAGGGTAAGTGACAAGTTCCCGGTTTGAGAGTCTCTGTGATGTTCCATGTTCTCCTTCTCCACAGGGAGCCCACAGGTGATAGGACTGGGTGGGAGTAGACAGCTGCTGGAGGAAGGGAATACAGACTCATCATCACCTTTACAGGGTTTCTGTCTGCTGCTGGCAAGGAGGTTGGTGTTAAGAATGGGATACTGTGGTCTGATACCCGGGCCAGGGAGTTTATTTCTCTATTTTGCAAATAAGCTTGTATTAAATTCTTTCTGTGGATGTTCTGGCCATGCCAGATCGATGTCAGCCTTCCAAGTTACCAGCCTCTACCCCTTTAAGTTTGTATCATGGCTTGAAGCCTTTTTTCCTATTCTAAGGTACAATCATTCACTATAAAAGATGAGAGCGCGAGCCATAATGATGGTGGCGTGCTGTGAAATGGCCTTAGAAATGTGTGACCCTGCTGTGTAACTCACCTGGGTGACAGGGTGCCGGAGATGTGTTTGTTTCTAAATCTCTCCTTGGAATTGAATGGAAGCAGACCCTACTGAAAGTGTCCTCTTAAAATACTGTTTGCTTTCAAAGCAAGTGATAGCTAATAAAAAGACACAACGGTTAATTGCTTTCTCCTTTTTTTCTTCCTCCCTTTCTCCTTCCTTTCCTTCTTTAGTTCTTTCCCTTCCTCCTTTTCCTTCTTCTTTCTTTCCTGTCCGGCATCCTGCAAGCTACTTCCTTTGTCTTGGAAATATAAAACAGGAGATATGAGACATATTCCTGAATTGATGGAAGCCAGTTAGGGCAGAGCTGTGACTATACAGGGACCCCCTCCCTCCGCCCCGGAAGACCTCAGGTCTGTGCTCCCACACTAGACACCTGAGCACCTGCTGGGGAGCGTGAATCACTATACATTAAGAGACAGCCTTGCGTGCTGATTCCAATTAGTCAATGCAGAATAAATGAGGGCATTATAAAACCACTGTTAGACAAATATGTAACAGTAATAACTGTTGCAGTCAAGGTTCAATGATGGATAGAATCTGTGGTTGAAAATTTGAGGAGAAACACCATTATTAGAATAGTTTCAAAATAGCTCTCTCAAGTTATTTATCTTTTAGAAAGAGATGAATAATAACTTTGCAATGGAGAAACCCAGCAAACATCAGGGTTACCAAGGAGTCAAGGTTAATGTCAGCGGTACTGAGACAGACCAGCATGGTGTGCCTCCCGATAATGTGTGCTGGCAAGGAAACAACATCACTTCCAAAAGGACACAAAGGCTCTATTGAATCATGCGACATCAGAGGAACCCAGACTGAGGAACATTCTATGAAATACCCAAAACTCTTTAAGAATGTCAAGGTTACAAAAGACAAAGACTGAAAGCTGTCACAGACTAGAGGGAGTGACGGAGACAATCAAATGTGAGATCTAAAATTGATTTCGAAACAGAGAAAGGACATTTAGGGGAAAACCGGAGACATAAGAGTAAGAGCTATAGTTCAGTTAGTAGTGTTGTATCAATATTAATTTCCTAGTTTTGATAATTGAACTATGATTTTTTCTTTTTTGAGACAGAGTCTCACTATGTCACCCTCAGTAGATGTGGTGGCATCACAGCTCACAGCAACCTCAAACTCTTGGGCTTAAGCAATTCTTTTGCC